AAAGAGAAAATGTCAAAGGCAAACATCCTCACTGCTGTGCAGTTTAGTAGATATTAGAATAAGAAAGCATGATATCTGTTACCAAAGACAACAGATGGCATTCTCAAGCACTTAGTCAAGCTCCTCTGAATTTTGGCGCTGATTGGCTGTGAAACCAGGATTTGGGGGGAGCAGGATCCTGGTTCAGTTTAAAACAAAGTGTTTGTGCTGCCAAGATCAGCTCAGTTTTCTATGGAAAGCTCTTTCAAACACTAGTGGACTCCAAAGAACCACAGTGAAATCTCCAAATAGAGAAGCTATTAGAAAAAAACATTATCTCCAAATGAAAAAACTCAGCACGGTAGCGAGCCTTCCCAGAAGTGGCGATGCTACGGACAGCCCCGCTAAATTCCGGTTCTTTAATGGTGTTAAAATTCAGCACTCTGATCAGGGAGTAGGAGTCATCAGCTATCTTACCACCATGGATTTATGTGCAGGGCTTGTCCATATACACATATTTATTATGCACTGGAGGTAGTTTCTGCAATGAACAATAAAACAGAGGTAAATAACTAAATGTCAAACATAAATGTCAACATACTGTTACAATAAAACAGCACATATCAAATCAAACAATATCAACAACTCTCTTAAAGTGCAGTTAGCAGACTAATTACTGGACGTGAACAGAATATAAAGGAGCACATAAACAACTTAAGGTTATCACAGTTTCTGTTGTGTTTGTCTTGCCATCCTATCCCTGTGACCTAGTTTTCTTAGTGTGTCTAATTAGTTCACCTGTTTAGTTAAATTATCTTGTTAGTTTCCCTCTTATTTAAAACCGGCATCTCTAGAACCCGAAACTTTTCCCACACTGCTGATTTAAAACAAGCAGAAGCTTCTTTGAGCCCTTCAAGTTATCTGAACTCGCCGCTCTTGTTTGGGGTTGGTGTGTAGATCATCTCTTCTTCTGCTCTTTCCTGTTGTGACGGTTAGCGTTGTATTACCGCACACCCCCGTCTGGACTGATCACCTAGGGCCCTGTCTCAAATTGCACCCTAAACCCTCGCAGTCTTCCTCTAAGTCCACACTTTCGTGACGTAATGCTGCTTTGACTGTCGGGTAGAAGTCTGCCACAGAGATCGCATCAGTGAGAGCGAGCACCCTTCTGAAAGCTAAAATGCGGAATGGGACACCCTACGGACTCGTGGACTTAATGAAAATGAACCATGGTTTTACCACAAATAAAACCAAAAAAACATGGTTACTATAGTTAAACCATGGTAACTACAAATTAACCATGGTTGTGCTATACTAACCATAGTTTAACCATGGTATTTGCAGTAAAACTGTGGTTATACAAATGGTAATCAATACGCCAAAAAATGATGGTTACTACACTTTTACTACAAGAAAACCATGGTTAATTCGACTGCATGTACCTAACCGTGACGCCCGTACCGTGATGGTTCGGGACGAATACATAGGAATGCTGCCGACAGCTGATTTACTGCACAGGAATTTAAGATGACATGGCTTGATTTTATCCCCTATGCTTTTAATTTTCCACATTTGTTCATAAAATAAAATAATTTCATTTTTATATGTTGTCGAATGTGGTTTGTGATTTTTTTGATCAGAGAGTTTTTGGCCATTGGATCAGAGCGCTGTCAATCACTGCCTGATTCGCTGCCTGTTGTAGCCTCTAAATTTGATCACTCAACATCATCGGTTCATGGAGCTCTCAATAGTTCCAAACAAACTAATGTGTTTAAGCAGGATGGACGACAGCTTCACTCAGGGCCGTTTCTAGCCATTTTGATGCCTTCCACCGGTTTCACACTGGATGCGCAAGCAAAGCGGAGGCAGCGCAGAAGCTGTGCGTATGCAGAGCAGGAACAGCATGCAACAATTGGGCTTCCACACCCAGAGACGCCAGACGTGATAATAGTGGAACTGAGTAACAGGGGCCCCCATGGTGAGGGGTGGGGGGGCGATGGTGAACTGAACGTTATCTTGCAAGCGTGAACATACTAAATGTGATTTTGCGATCGCGAACACCCCCCCTCCCACACAGAATGTGATTTTGAGGGGGCCCCATTGCAAATTCAGTGCACAGGGCCCAGAATTCCTAGCGACGGCCCTGTCCACTATAGTTTATATGTATATCTTAACGTTAAGATTACTTTTATCATGCAAACTACACTATACAGCATATGTGCGTGCGGGGCAGAGGGGAACACGAGCGCATCAAAGTATGCTGCCCATATTATAAATCAAAGCACGAGAAACAGCTGTCGGAGAACACCTGAAAAACGCGACCGAATGAACGATACTCGTCTGTATTTGCAGTTCAGCTGAGCATGACAAACGCTGCCAGTGTGGAAGCTCAATGGGCGCGTGTTGCTCCCACTCTGCATACACACAGCTTCTGCGCTGCCTCTGCTTTGCTTGCACATCCAGTGTGAAACCGGCTTAGGTGAAATCCAAATTGGCTTTGAATTAAGCCAATCAGCATTTCAACACTTCCGTAAGGATGCGTTAAATTCAACAAAGCGGTTTAATGAAGGATGTATTGATCTTGTGAATTAGCGAATTTTACTATACCAATATTTTTTAATTGGCCGTAAAAGTTTTATATGGGAATATTACACAGCACACTGATCCTTTAACAATGCATTGGCGCAAAAACGCACACGTTCTGGACCAATTTTGCAGCATGATTTCTTAACTGCCACAAATACTGCCTTAATGAAATACTCATTTTGTGCACTTTTTACAGTACCAATATTTTAAACTGGCCTTTGAACTTTTATTGCATGGCAAAAAAAAGCGTTACTTTGCCAAAGCACTGACAGAACTTATTGATCTAACAGTGTTGTTGAGCACTCCAAATGCAGACTTTGCATGCAACAATCCGGCAGCAATTGACAGCGCTCTGATCCAATAGCATGCAGGCATCATCAGATCGACAGTACTCTAGCCCAATGATGTTGGGGGATCCAATCATATTTCAGGGTGGCCGTTACAACCCTGCTAAAATGTAGTGCCAGTTTCTTTTTCACTTCCAAAAACCGTAATTTATACAGTACTTTACTGTAAAATTACATTAAATGTAATTACAGTTATTCACCTTATACAGTATGGAAACTTACTGATAACCAATTAACAGGTTTTTACTGTAGCATTTTTACAGTCTTTTACTGTTAAAATCACAATCATTTTTTGCAGTGTCTATTTAATAAATATACATGTATCTACTTATCTTCTCAAAAGAATATTGCAGGTCATACCTGTTTACTTATTTTTAAGTTTTGCATTTGAATAAATGTTTAGACCTGATTAAACACTAGATTTTTAAATGTGAAATTTAAAAGTTAATAACTTGCATTCTTTTTTTAAATTTTAACGATACTCGTATAAGTACACACAAGTGAATAATAATGAGTGCAAGCAAATACTGAATTTAACCCAAGAAAAGTTTAAAATGGTACTAAAAAGGCTTTCAACTGCATTCAACAAAAGATTTCTATCCCCTTATATGTACAGTATTAAAAATATTAAGTAATATAGGTTCCATTTTTTAAATACTGTACATAAAAACAATATTGTCTAAAGGTCACTTTTCATCTTGCAACTAAATGTAACTATTTATATATAAAAAATAAAGCCATGATGCCTCTCCGGCAGACCACACACACACCACATCTAATGAGTTAAAGTGAAATGTGTAAGCAGCGTTTTCCTCATCTTTCCACTGAAGCATTTTGTATAGCGATGAGGAATCCTATGCACATTCCTCAGGCCAGTCTTTACTCACTCTATTTTGTTGGAAGATCTCCAGACTGAAAGTGCGGGAAGGTCTTGATGACGCATCAAGGCATCGGGGCTTGTGAGACCAGTTGAAATATGAGATAAACGTTGTTCAACTATGTCACTACAATTACACACTGTGTCTACACAACTAATGTAAACACAGTGGAAACATTGTTAGCCTACCTTACCCACATTAATCAATAATTCACCCACAAATTAAAGCTTGATCATGTTAACTCACCCATGTGTGCAACCCGTATGTGTTTTTCCCAAACAGCTCTAATCCAGCACATCAGTCAAGTTAAGTAAATAAGACTTGCATACTCTATTTCCACATAGTAGCTTTGTGTGAGGAATAAAAAGAAAATTAAAGCTCTGAAATAAGGTGTGCACAAGTTTAGATGGATAATTGTGCAGCTTTAGCCAGGGTAGCCATATTTAATTTTTGACAAGAATAAACTGAGCAGGGTTGCTCATATTAGATTTCAGTAAACAAAAACGTAATAAACAATTGTGTTAATTATTTGATCTAGGACTTTAATAGTGTTTGCCTTAATACAGTGCGTGTCATTTTAATTCTCAGTTTCATCCGCGTAAAATTCAAAATGGCGTCTAAGCTGTATTATGCTATGATCATAGATACATAGATATTTATAAGTATATGCCTTGATTCTATGGGCCGCTATACGTAAGCCGTCCGCCATATTGGAAGGGTCAACTTGACATCATTCACCATAATAATCAATGAATATTCGAAGATGCCACAATCCTTACATATCTATGTTTCCACCCACTCTTTCGCATTCTCACCTGTGAACGGTTATCCTGTTTCTTCGGGAATTTAAATCCCGGCGGTTTTTACAACCATCGGCTGTGCAGGATTGTGGCATCTTCTCGCGTCTACGTGCTTGGAGCTGTCGAATGAGGCATCTACCTATACATATCTATCGATTTTCAGTGAATAATTCAAATTTGGGCCATCATATAACTTAATAACTTAGTTACTTAAATTACTTATTAATGCACAGAAGTCACATGGACTAGTTTTATGATCCGTGTTTTACAGCTTGACTGTCAAACATGAACAGAATATGACAAGCGTGAGTCAATATGATGGAATTATATTGGTTTGAACTACTTCATTTAACACCTCAACCCATTCAGTCATTCTTGTTAAAAATCTTTTTATTTTTGTAGTACATGTTTGTATAATACAGGTGATTCAAAGTGCTTGTGATAAGGACAGGAAACCAAAAACCAATCCCAATTCATTATACAAACATCACAATGACGTCTGTTAAATGAATTTCGAATTGCAAACATTTTGAAAGTCAGTGAGAGATTTTAATATTTTTTATCATAAATTTCCTAATTATTAAAGTATAGCTAATAAACATACTTAATAAAACAGGTTGATCTGTATGTGCAGCTAAATTATTTTCAGATAAAGTAGAAATTAAGCCAAATAATACAATAACAACTATTTTTTGTTGCAATATAAACAGGTCTTATTGCTTTCTCTGAAGTACTTCCTGTTGATGTTTGAAAGAATTGCATAGCTGTGTCGGCAAATTGCGCAAACTCCTACATTTCATACAAAACAATGCCAAATTGTTTCTTCATGACAGCAAGGAGCCTGAAGCAGACATGGGAACTGAGAAGGAAGTATTGGAATACGACCAAATCACATTTAAAAGCCCCTGTTTTTATCGTGGAGCGATGAATCGATCGCCCTGAAGCTAAATATCATAGTTGCATGTCACTTCTGTTGTTTGCACAAGAGACAGATTAATCTTTCTCTGTCAGACTTTAACCATGTGCAACTCACACAAGTATTTAATATCATACTGTCAATTTACAGACCGCTTTACCAGTTGATATTGCACACTTTCTGCTCATAAATTCTTGTAAATTTCAAGATTTCCTGAAAAACACTCATTTTTATTTGCTATCATAAAACTTCCTAATCTGAATTATACTGGTTACTTAAACACTCATATCTGCTGAGCACTAGTTAGTTGTGGCATAAAGCATAAAAAGGTATGCGGTAACTAACTAAATCAAACCCTCTACATAACAGTGTCCCCTAAATGATTACATTTTAATGTAAGATGGATTTTAAAACCAGGGTTGGTTTTTGCACAAGTTCATTTGAATGTGATGAGGTAGTCAGGATAAGCCTGGCAGTCGTGGAAAACCACAAACATGGAGGGATTCTGCGTATCATCCACCACGCTGTCATAGAGGTCAGGCGCCACGCGCTCAGGGGGCGTCCTCATGTCCCCCTGACCCTTAGCGTAATAACCCGTAAGCACACGAGCCACAAACATGAGCTGAGTCCCGTCTGCTGCAGGAACTGCATAGGTAGGATCGGCAGAGTAGCTGGCGTTCACAGCGAAGTACGTCCCATGCCCGTAGACGGTGGCTGAGAAAGGTATAAAAATCACCAGAATTAATTAGTCTGCAAACTGAACAATTAACGAGACCATCAGTGACTGACTGGGAATCTGTTTACTAGACTGTTAAACTATAAAGAGGAAGTTCATCCAATGTTCACCCAAAACTTACAATTCTGTCATCACTCGCTGTTGGGTTTGTCACTCCTACAGTTATTGCATGACTGCAGAGGACTATGAGTGAGTCAGATGAACTTCACTTTACGGTGCATTTAGTCACTATGAACCAAGTTGTTCATAGTGTTCATAGAGGTTTGAAACAATGTATATTGGTCACAAACAAATAGTGACAGAATTTCCATTTTTGGGTGGACTATTAATTTAAGCAACCTTTAAAAAAAAAAAAAAGCAGTTACCATTTTGCCCTGCAAAATTGCGATTAAAGTTTGACTTCATGATGGATGAGCAGGACGCCTCTGATGTGCCGTGATAAAGGATCTTCTCTCCTGCTCCCACAATTAGACCATTTCTGTTCTCCAGCTCTTTTTTACGTGCCTCGTATAACCGCCGAAGATTCATGTTCTGGATGCGCTCGATCTGTTGAAATACATTTGCACTCAAACAGCCATGTATATATTTGATGGACTTCACATTCACATCTGTTGTTCTTCATAGAAGCAAACTATAAAGACTATACTGCCATACAAAATGAAAAGTGAAAGTGAAGTATGGTGTCCCGTACTCGGAATTTGTGCTCTGCACTTCACCCATCCCAAGTGCACACACACAGCAGTGAGGCAGCCATATTGCACCAAAGTTGGGGCTTTGGTGCCTTGCTCAAGGGTCTCACCTCAGTCATGTTATTGAAGATGGAAGAGAGTGCTGTACATTCACTCCCCCCACTGACAATCCTTGCCAGTACTGAGACTCAAACCCGCAACCTATGGGTTACAAGTCCAACTCGCTAACCATTAGGCCATGACTGCCCCAAACATCGTACTAGACCAACACTTTCAAAGGTTAAAAATAAAACAAAAGTTGTCAATAGGTGCCATTAATCCAATCTGGCCCTTGATTTAACCTATAATAAGCCCTTGTTTTAGACCAGGGGTGTCCAAACTCGGTCCTGGAGGGCCGGTGTCCTGAAGAGTTTAGCTCCAACCCCAATTAAACACACCTGAACCAGCTAATCAAGCTCTTACTAGGCATACTAGAAACTTAAAGGCAGGTGTGTTGAGGAAAGTTGGAGCTAAACTCTGCAGGACACCGGCCCTCCAGGACCGAGTTTGGGCACCCCTGTTTTAGACTATCTCTAATCTTAAAATACAACTAGATATGAATTAAGACATTATGTAGTTCTTTAAAATCCATTTTTATGTCCTTCGATGGTTTATGTCATGTAAAGCACACTAAGATGGTGTCAGCTGTCAAACCTTGAGCACGGTTTTTCTGACTGTCTTCTTGAAGTCCATCTTCACAGTCTTGTACTCTGTAGATGACGGATCTAAGACAATCACCTTTAAGAGGTCACTCTGACTCATGTTGTCCCAGTAGATTGGCAAAGACAAATCTGAAATGCAAAATAATGAGGCTTTTGATTTAGCTGGATTATTATGTATCAATTTATATTATAGATGTAGATCAGTGGTTTTCAACTGGACAAAGATTTGATCTTTTTTTATCTGTCACAGTATCAAATATATATTTAACATAATCCGGGTCATATTTTCATATACTATAAAAGCGGTTTGTCACCTGAAGGGTTCTCCAGTCGTTTGAGAGCGGTCACCTGTCCTGAATCACATGATGTGGCCTCCATCTTTTGCAAATCCACAGTCCATTTCACACCCTGTGCATCCTCAATTCCATCTTTTACATCTCTTTTCTCAAGCTTATAATTCACGTCTTTTGGTACCTTCTGCCAAATGCCCCGTGGTCCCAGAATGCACCACGTGACCTGACTGAAGAGGAAGGTCTGGTCCTTCTCTCTTACCTTAGAGTTTGGGAGAAATAAAATGTTAGGCTTTGCAAATGAATAAATGAATAATCATGAAAAACAATTTGATTTTAAGTTTTTATTGCATTTATCATTAGTCACCAAAACGCCCCAGAAGATTAGTATACCATAGTTAGTATACAAGAAGATTAGTATACAATTGCAGTGTATGTGTGTGTGTGTGTGTGTGTAAGTCAGGATCAGGAAAGGTCCATGAGCCAGGACTCAGTACACTCGTCAACACAACACAAGGCTATCGGCATTGACTATTATTTGCAAATTCTATGCATTATGTGCTGAGGCAATTGTGTGGAGAGCTAATTTATTTTTAATGTTAAATCATTGTTATTCTCACCTGTCTGCGAAGTGCATCTTGTATCAGTCTAACCACCTCATTCACTCCGTTCCTCTGCCCTTTAACTACCCATCCTTCAGAACTGTTCTGTTCTATCTGCAGGTGCAGTGAATTCACTTTAGAGAGCAGCTGGTCCATCTCCTCTTGAGTGAGGCTTTCAATCTCATCAGGAAAGAAAGTGTGTGTGGAGCACTGGTCCTTATATGCCTGCTGAAGATCTCTGCAGGCATCAGAAACATCATTATTGGTGTGACCAATGATTAGAAATGCTGCTGTGCTCTCTGTGTCAGGCAAAGATGTCACTAGAGAACTCAAGTCCAAAGCGACTGGTAAGGGTAAGGAATGTGATCTGCTTAATCTAGTTGATCCACTGTGCCTGATACTGGTTGCACTGCGCCCTCTGGTGGTTACACTGGTAAGTACAAGTGGTGCAGGAGCTGAAAAAGGTGAATGTGCAAAATCGATAATGAGTGTCCTGTGAAAACACTGTAAAAAATATTGAAAAATGTTGAAGAATTATTTTTTATAATGCATGAGATGGGCAAGAAATAAAAGTGCCTCTGCATTACGCAGATTCATTCTCACCTGTCAACTGTGTACTACCGCCAAAAATTTGCTTTGATGTCGCTTTGAATGCCAGAAAAACATTAATCTTCAGCAGAATGATCCGAATGTTTTTGAGATGTTGAAGATGCGCTCCTTGAACACCTTCCTTTACTCCCTCTAGAATGGACTTGGCCACCATATTTGGATCCAAACCTCCTTGTCCTGCAGAGCCCACAAATTTACCTTGACATGGCTGTTTATGATGCCAAAACATTCCTACTATTTCAGTCATGCATATTTCTAATCAGATAAACTACTGAGCAATTATACTAGATAAATATATTTGTGCGGTAAAAGGCCTTATTCTTATAAAGACCATGACAAAGTCCTGCGAGTCTTCAACATTCATGGCGCTTGCAACGCCAAGATCATAAGTTCAATTCCCAATAAATGCACAAACTGATAAAATGTATATGTTGCATGCAACTTAAAGGGATAGCTCACCCAGAAATGAAAATTCTGACACCATTTACTCAACTTCATGTTGTTTCAAACCTGTATGAATTTCTTTCTTCCACTGAACACAAAAGATGATCATTTTGAATGTGAACTTTCCCCTTTAAGCCGCTTTAGAAAAAAGCATCTGCGAAATGCATAAATGTAAACGTAAAAAAATGCTAGACTTAGTTTTTGCCTTTTTATGTGGGAACCAAATTGATCAAATTATCAAATGAATGTGCTCATATATACAAGCAAAGACAAAATCAGTATTTTTCAGCTGTGAAAATGTATGGATATATCTCTGAGTTTATATCTCGCAAATTTGAGTTTATATCTTGCAATTTTAAATTTATATCTTGCGATTTTAGGTTTATATCTCATAATTCTGACTTTATATCTTGCAAATTTGAGTTATATCTTGCAATTCTGAGTTTATATCACAATTTTGAGTTTATGTCTCATAATTCCTAGTTTATATCTTGCAATTTTGAGTTTATGTCTTGCAATTTTGAGTTTATATCCTGCAATTTTGAGTTTATATCTCACAGTTTTGAGGTTATATCTCAGTTTTGAGTTTATATCTTGCAATTCTGAGTATATCTCATAATTCTGAGTTTATATCTTGCAATTTTGAATTTATATCTTGCGATTTTAAGTTTATATCTCATAATTCAGATTTTATATCTTGCAATTCTGAGTTTATATCACAATTTTGAGTTTATGTCTCATAATTCCTAGTTTATATCTCGCAGTTTTGAGTTTATATCTCATAATTCTGATTTTATATCTCGCAAATTTGAGTTTATATCTTGCAATTCTGAGTTTATATCACAATTTTGAGTTTATATCTCATAATTCTGATTTTATATCTCGCAAATTTGAGTTTATATCTTGCAATTCTGAGTTTATATCACAATTTTGAGTTTATATCTCATAATTCTGATTTTATATCTCGCAAATTTGAGTTTATATCTTGCAATTCTGAGTTTATATCACAATTTTGAGTTTATATCTCATAATTCCTAGTTTATATCTCGCAATTTTGAGTTTATGTCTTGCAATTTTAAGTTTATATCTCGCAGTTTTGAGTTTATATCTCATAATTCTGATTTTATATCTGGCAAATTTGAGTTTATATCTTGCAATTCTGAGTTTGTCACAATTTTGAGTTTATATCTCGTAATTTTGAGTTTATGTCTTGCAATTTTGAGTTTATATCCTGCAATTTTGAGTTTATATCTCACAGTTTTGAGTTTATATCTCAGTTTTGAGTTTATATCTTGCAATTCTGAGTATATCTCACAATTCTGAGTTTATATCTTGCAATTTTGAATTTATATCTTGTGATTTTAAGTTTATATCTCATAATTCTGATTTTATATCTTGCAAATTTGAGTTTATATCTTGCAATTCTGAGTTTGTCACAATTTTGAGTTTATATCTCATAATTCCTAGTTTATATCTCGCAATTTTGAGTTTATATCTTGCAATTCTGAGTTTATATCTCACAATTCTGAGTTAATATCTCATAATTCCTAGTTTATATCTTGCAATTTTGAGTTTATATCTCGCAATATTGAGTTTATATTTTGCGATTCTGAGTTTATCTCATAATTCTGAGCTTATATCTTGCAATTCTGAGAATTATGAGATAAACATTTATTTTCAAATTACAGTATTTTTAAAGTATTTTTTACATGCCTCGTTTATAATGGGTTTTCATGTTTTTGAATCATCGCTCTGAGTTTATTTTGCAAATTTGAGAATTATATCTCACAATTCTGAGTTAATATCTCATAATTCCTAGTTTATATCTTGCAATTTAGAGTTTATATCTCGCAATATTGAGTTTATATTTTGCGATTCTGAGTTTATCTCATAATTCTGAGTTTATATCTTGCAATTCTGAGAATTATGAGATAAACATTTATTTTCAAATTACAGTATTTTTTACTCTGAGGTGGAAACAGACCTTCATCGTTATAGGAGATAGTAAATGGGGGGAAAAAAACATAAAACAAACTACCTTACAAGACATCAATTTTTTTCACAATGCAAGTAACAATGAAGCTACTGACCAGCGCAGATCGCAGGAATGGCCACAGACCTGTAGCAGCCATGCTCACATTGAACCACTATTTCTTTTGCCAAGGTCTTGATAACATCAGGGTTTCTCTCTCCACAAACATGCATGATGGTCTTACAGGGGAAGCCTCCTGGTGGGGTCGTGAAGATCTGCCCGCTCGCTGCCCGAGCTGGAGAATATATGTAAGGGATAGTGTTAGATGATATATTGCATGTATATATTTGATTAATTAAATCATTTATCCATTTTAAAGTGTCATTTGGTTTTCTGTATTTTATTTGATTTTTAAAAAATGCCTAAAGAAGGTTGCCATTTCTGCATTTCTATATTTGCAAACAGGCTCAGTTAAGTGTATGTAGTTTCTTCAAATTTTCTAAAATCACACTGTTTCTAATGAAGGCATGCGATTCTGATTTAATTAGATTAGATCATTTTCAAAAGAAATGGCTTCCAGGGAAAGTTAAATTTGATAGATAAGTCTATCAATTTCATAAAACTTTGTGTTAAAATGACTTCCGATGCTTGCATACATAGGTATTATTTAGTGCATTCAAACATGCTTGACAAAAGTCTTTTCATATATGTAATAAAATCAAAAGCTAATTTTATAAAAGAGGCTGTAGTTTATTTTTCTTACCGCCTGTCAGTTGAGCCTGGATTTGAGGTCCTGCCTTAGTAAGGATGTTCTTACATACTCCTGTGATGGACAGGTTAAACACTCTCTTATGTTCTAAACAGTGTATCAAGAATGTTTTGGTTATTAAATTACAAAATCTGCATGAATACCAGCTGTCTGGAAGTCCTTAAAGTCAGTGGTGTTCACGATGGCATCAGTAGTCTCATTAGTGATGTCTCCAAACACTAGATGGAGTTCAATCCCATCTACTGGCATGATGATCTCATCAAGGTCAGAGGTCAGTGACTGAAACAGAGCTGTGGTGACAGATAAAGAGATGTACAGATGTAAGAAACCTTGGAAGGTTTAGTTAAATGTAGGAATTTCCAATACACAACAACCAATCCTTTGTGTGCATGAGCACTATTGGCCAGTTAGACTTATTCTGAGTGTCATTTAGACATTTCTCATTGACTATTTTTCATTTTACCACACAGCATCATGTCAAAATGTGCTGTGGCATGTTCCTAAGTTACTATATCTAACATGTAAGTGAGCTTATTATGAGGTGCCAAACAGGAAATAATTATGTAAATACTGAATATATAAATGTAAATCTGAAAATATAAACTTAAAATGTGAATATACAGTTATAACCACGAAAATATAGAAGTAAATCTGAATATATTAATGTAAATCTGAATATATAGAAGTACATCTGAATGTATACATGTAAATATGAACATGGGCGACTTTTGACTCTTAAAGGCAGAGTAAGTGATTTTTCAAAAACACTTTAGAAAACTGATTCGGGCCGAATTGCAAAACAAACTTGTAGCCAATCAGCAGTAAGGGGCGTGTCTACTTGTGATGTGGAGGAGAGCGCGTTCAGTGCATGGGACGGACATTAGCGAGCCGAGCAACAGAAAGATAGAGATGGCGGATAAAAAACAAAAGAGGAAAACGTCTGCGGAACGATAAGGCAAGAAGTAGGACCCGTGTAAATATCGGATCAGCTTTCCAGCGCTGGAGAGAACTCAAGGAGCGGAGGCCTGCGATCGGACGCCGAGGTTGCTTTGTTTCTTCTCAATAGGTTGTTTGCAATCACATGATTCTGATGACGCGCGAAATGCAGTTGGAGGGCAGGAAGTGATTTTTTTCTCCATAGGAATCAATAGCAGAAACTCCAAATGCCAGTGTTTTGCGTTGTTTATGGATGCTTAAATTGGCCAAACCGAGAAACCACAAGGAGCTTTTATCGTGTACGAAAATGTGTTGTTCATAAGTGGGGAAAAGTCAAGAAATTGATTGAAAAACGCAGGAAAAAGTGACTTGTAAACCTGCGTCTGCGGTCGGGAGGATTGAAGCCGGATAATGCTCGTGTGTGCAAATGGAATTAAAACCGTAAAACCTAAAACGTTGCTACCGTATTTTTTACGGTAAAATTCCGGCAACCACAGCTGCCATAAATTTGACGGAATTTTTTTTACAGTGTACGTATATGTGGGGCGGAGCTATCAAAATAGGGGCAAGACCCTTTTGGGGTAGGGGCGTGTTTGTTTTGGTGATTTCAAATATATTCTGGCTACCAGAAATCACTTACTCTGCCTTTAAGTAAAAAAATAAAAAATAAATAAATAATAATTATATATATATAAAAGCAAAATATTTTTTTTCTGATGTAAGCATCAAAATAATGCCCTACAGTATTGCAACGCATCAAAGCAGTCAATCCAAGTCAAGGATAACTTAAAGAGGTTGCCACCGTTTAGTAAACTGTGAACCAGAGGTTTGCATTCCCGTGGGACCCGACCAGATTTTTTGCGCCGCGGGATTAAATTCCCGAATAAAACGCGGTAGAGGTCGGTAACTCTGGTGTAATTTGAACGGGAGCGGGCGGTCTAACAATATTCCATTCCCGTGTGACAGAGCAGAATAAGGATGGAGCAAAGTGTGGATGCGCTGTCCTTTGAAGGACGTTCAAATCCATTTTGTTTATATTTTGCTTAGCCTATAATTTTAAATGACATTTTAAATAATTTTCTCTGCGACTTTCCTACTGTGTTAACAGAAAAATGTCAAACGAATTTAGTATATTGACAAGACGAATAAAAATAGCTAATAGGCTACTTTTGCACAACCTACATTTTTATTTTTTTTTCTCTTTGCGACATTTTTCCTATTGTGTTGTAAATGTTAAACGAATTGTATCTTATTTTTTCTGACACTTTTTTTCCCTACTGTGTTGCATCAATGCGGATATTGTACTATATTAATTACTGTAAGTGCACATCACTTATATAAACCAAATGGAGTATTTTTTTTTACTGTATTTTACGAAAGGCTTGCCATAGTGCCAAAAGGTCCTCAGAATTCAACATTGCTACACATTTTGCAAGCTCTTGTCCGGTGTAAAACAGTCACTGTATTTTTGCTATTCCAATAAAAATAAACGCATGTTATCACCAGGGCCGTATTAACCATTGGGCTAAGCCCCGGGGCCCGAGCAAGAAGGGGGCCCGTGATTGGCTGTGGAGTAGATTGACTGGAGCACCGATCGCCAAAGCGATCCTCAACATAAAAGAAGATATTTTGAAGAATGATCGTAACCAGTTTCTGGTCCCCACTGACTCCAATAGTGTATTTTTTTTCCATAATATGGAAGTCATGGGGGCCTAGCAACTGTTTGGTTACCAGTATTGTTCCAAATATATTATTTTGTGTTCAACAGCAGAAGGAATACAGGTTTAGAACAACAACAAAATGTTCATTTTTGGGTGAACTATTCCTCTAAAGCAGCCTAATATAGCTGTATATACGATGTAAATCAAACATCAGAAAGAAAATCCCTTACTGTCTTTGACTGAATCACTTTTGTAAAATAAATAATGAATGTATATTGAATTTATGCAGTGAAGACTATTCAGTCTATTTGTACAATTTCTTTATACAATATAATATTTATTACTTATTGCTTTAAGTTTTTCAAGTAGGCCGATTTTTTACAATCTTTGTTCTGTTGTAACCTAATTTGTGACTGTTTACTTGTCTTCAGTAAGCTTGTTTTTACTTAGGCTATATTATTTTTGTGATATTGAAATTGGTAACAAAAATTATTAAATTTCAGTGCATCAATAATTTTGATATGGGATAAAAATCCTATTTAAAGCTTTATATATATATATATATATATATCATTATTGTGATGGGGGCCCTGCAGTAAGTCATAGCCCCGGGGCCCAGTGCAGTCTTAATGAGGCTCTGGTTATCACATAGCATTTTTTCCCTTTACTAGGTACAATATTTCAAGGAATCACCATTTATTCAGCTTTACATTTATATATTCAGATATACTTCTATATATTCAGATTTGTATCTATATATTCTTGATTATAACTGTATATTCAGATTTACATTTATATTCAGATGTACTTAATCAGATTTACATTTATAAATTCAGCTTTACATTAATATATTCAGATGTACTTCTATATATTCGTGGTTATAACTGTATGTTCACATTTGAAGTTTATATATTTAGGTTTACACTTATATATTCAGAATTTACATAATTATTTCCTGTTTGGCGTCTCATAGCTTATATACATATATATATCTAAATCTCTTGCCTTCCCCTGTGTTGTCCACCATTTTTGCACTCAGATTCCCACAGACTGTCTGGAACAGCTGCAAAATATTTCCAAAATAGGGTTAGGAATAGAAATAAACTTCATTGCATTGAGTGTGTATATAGTGTGTGTGTGAGTTACATAGATAGCTTACCTCTTCAGAATGAGCATAATTAGCCATTATTGTGATACAAATGGTGTCCAGGCAACCAGTGGGTCCAGATAAAAATTTGCAGATCTCATGAGTAAGAATATTAACAGAGTCTTTGATCGGTATTGACAGCACTATGCCAGGTCCGATTACTGGCAATGCAACAGATTCCCAACAGTTCTGCTTACACAGCTCAAAAACTCTGCAAAGTCCAGAGCGAAGCGCCTAAGACAAGATCACAACATCAAAAAATACATTACTGATGTTGGCAAAACTACTAAATGTATTTTATTTGTTTTTATTTGCTATTGTTTGTTGCGCTTTGGGTTTCAGAAAAAGCGCATTATAAATAAAATGAATATTATTGTTTTCTGTAAATCCCATCCATTCAATATTTTCTCCTTTTTTAATGTCATACCTTTTTGCTTTTGTGCTTGTTTCCTTTCGGCACACATTCCACAAAGAAAACCATGGAGCATCCCAATGCTGGCGTCGCGTCCACCTCCAGCACATCTCCAGGCTTAAGCTTGTGCTTTCCCTTTGCATTGTTGAAGTTATTTTGAAGCTGCTGTCCTGCTTTATTCAACAGGGATGATCCAATCAAGGTTGAGGTCATGTTTGTTTGAATCATCGGAGCAACAAACACATCTGCCTGTATTAATTATATGAATCACATAAGTTACTCAATAGTTCTGTTTGAGAGGTATAACATATAAATACAAAGTAATTTGAAGACTTGCCTGCTGTTGTTCAAGGCTACCAACCACAACTTTAATGTCTATCTCTTTGTCAGAGTCCAGAGAGTCTTGGGAAGCTGCAGACGTAAATGGTGAGCTCTGAAGATTGAGACTGCTCATGTATTTGGGTTCTTTACCTCTTTTCTGCTTATCATCTATAGGCAGTATCCCAACCATATAAGAATTCTTCACCAATTGCAAGATCCTTGCACCTTCACTTTGAAAAAACTGTTGAACTCCAGGTCCTTTCACCTCACATCGTTTAGTGGCAAGCCTCTGAAGGCATGACTCAAGGCTGTCCTTCAAGCTCTCAACTTCACAGCGAGGTCCCGTGAGGTGGACGCATGGGGAAGGTGAACTTGTTGGCTTTATTTCCACACTGCTCTTCTTCATGCCGCCAATTGCCAAGATCTCAGAGAAGTGCTCTGCCATCTCTGGACTGGGAAGAGGAAGGGATGCATGATGGATCTGATGGTTTCTTTTGTATACCAGCACAATGTTCTTCAGCATACTGACTTCAGGTGTGTAGCCCACAAGTTGAACCTTGGGGTCAGAAGTTGATTCATCCTGGTATTTAAGCTCCACTTTAACACTTTTGTGATTGGCCTGCTTGACGGCTTCGCTCAAATCCTCCTTCAGCTTAGTAAATGCAGAAGATTTCTGAGTATTGTCCAGGCGCACAGTCTCCAAACACAAGTCTCTCTGCACGGCAGCAGCTGCCTCCTCTAGAGCTCCATCAGACAGACTCAACAGAAGAACATCTGAACCTGAAGTCTCGAGCATAACTGGGCTGCGGAGGCTCTGCTGAAATCGGTTTTGGAAGTGCTGTATACCGCCACTTGATTCCAAAAAGGTCATAAGAGGATGATGTGATGGGATCCTCTTCTCTTTGATTCCTTTTGCTAATTTTAAAAGCTCATTTTCACCTGCATGGACCTCTTTCTCGGGACCCTTTAGTAGAACGCCTGCTCGTTCCTGTGTGATCTTAAGCGCAGGTAAATTAGATTTTATGTATGGCTCAAACTCCTCTTTGATGAGGCTAAATTGTTTCTCAGACACGCAACACTCTTTTTGAACCTGCTGTTTGTTCTGCAAGCCGCTTAGAAATTTTAAAATCTTCTCCACTTCTCTTTGTTCTCCAACCACCACAGCTAAACATGTTAGTTCTTCAAAATAGATTTTTAAGTTATCACTTTGAAGGAAAGAGTTTTCTTCTAGAATCGCAGATTTGTCACTTTCAACCTCGAAGTGGATGATATAGCGTGACTTTAGAGTCTCAAACGCTTCGTCCACTGCAAATTCCCATTTCTTCAGGGGATAAACATCTTCAGCTCCCGGGTCCCTTACCACCACCAACTCTTCAGAGTCAATGTTGATCTTGAAGGTGCTGGAGATCATAGAGAGATGTTTTTCCAAATCTGAATGTGGCTTTTTACATTCACTGAGGAAGCGTAGTAGATAATGGTCCAGTTTAAAAACCTTTTCCACACTTTTTGCACTTGCACATTTCTAAAAAAAAAAGAGAGAGAAAACATTAAAGATGTGATGCAAATGTTTAATGTAATGACCTCAGAAGGGGTCAAAAAGGTATGTTTAACCTAGAATGTTCAAAAAAGTGCAGACTAAGGATGCTCAGATCAAAGACATAGATATATGCAAATCTATGATTAAATAATCGATACTTAGGAAAGAAAACGCTAGTGTAACATAAGCGCCACCTGCTGTCAGAGAGTGAATTTGCGTTCTCATTCAGACGTTCTGCTGGTTTTGTTTTGTTCAGTTCTGTTTTAAGTATTATAGTTTCACAAACCTAAAGTCGGACCATTCTGTTTTTGCTTAAAATTTCGAATTTATACAATCTAATTTAAATCAAAAACTGTTCACTCTAAAAAACACTGGGTTAAAAACAACCCAATTTGGGTTATTTTTAACCCAAGGGCTGGGTAAATATAGGACAGAACATATGTTGGGTTAATTTTACCCAGCAAATTGGTTTGTTTATTTAAAGGTGCAGTCAGTAAGTTTTTGACCTCTTTGTCACCATCTCTGTTTGAAATGTGCAATTGCAGTTATTTGCGGAATTATCATCTTTACGTGGGTTGTGCATCGGCACGGCTCCTCAGCGCAGATGAATCTAATGTTTTGATGCTGTCAGTCACTGGTGTGGATACTGTACTTCGGAATCACAGGTTCTACGTCTTAAGTATGACCCACATAAGAATGATCACCGGATATTGTCATTTGAACAAGTAAGTAACATGTCTGCCACTTTTGTTCTCATGATTTTTTTCTGTTAATTTGTAGGGGAGTTTGTCAGACAATGTTTTCTTTTACTTCCATATTTGCAGGCTCATTGCGGGACACGGGGGGGGGGGGGGGGGGGTTTTTTTTTTTTTTTTTTTTTTTTTTTTTTTTTTGTTTTTTTTTTTGTGGTTTTTTTTT